AGGATTGAAAGCTTCTTGAATATGTGGCTTTGTATCTTTCATCAGGCAGAAAAAATTTCAGCATTCTGCCTTCAAGTATCACTTCTGCGTCATGTTTTTTTATCCTCTTCTTCCGTAACTCAAGGGATTTGTGTGTAAAAATTTTCACTATATCTCTCCTCTCTTCTATGCCCCTTTCTGTTTCTTAAAGATAATTTTTGGTCTCCTTATTACACGCTGGACATTTGTTCTGACTAATCTTCTAATTTAGCACTTTTCTCTTCTTACTTCAATTTACTATTAAAATCATCAATGGACTCTAAACTTCAATTGTGAAATTTTTTAGCTTTAGAATTGTAGTTTCCTTTTGAAGATAGATTTCAGTTTTCTGGCAAAATTCCTTATTTTAGTATGCATTTATTTCAATACAGTAATCATAGTTTATTTGTGCTCTATCAGATCACTGTGATATTTTTTTCTCATGATCCTCTTGCTCGGTAAGCCTGATAGTTTTGTAGTGAGTTTTGGATATTGTGCTTGAAAAGTTATAGTTGTTGTAGATGTCATTATTTTCCTTAAAAGATGGATAACATAAATAAATATCTCACAGATATAGATTTAGGGCATTTATGGAAAAGTTTTAATTAAAATAAGTATTTTTTTTTCTTTTTCTTTTTTTATCTCCTATAATGATGTCTGTCATTACAAATCTTCTGAACATTTTTTCTTTCCCACTGACTTCCTGGTTCTATTATGTAGTACTTGAAATAAAGTTAATAGAACAGAAATTTTGTACCTTATTTGAAACTTTGTTTCTTCTTCCTCACCATGAAATCATAAGAACCAAGCTTATTGAATTTTATTACTGTTTAATTACCCTGCTTTCTTCTTTTCCACCTTGGACACTGGCTAATGCTATAAGAATCTTACACCTCAGCAAGTTTCTACTTGCTTGATCTAGGATTTTAAAACTGAATATGACCTAAAAGAGAATAGTTTCTCTCAATTAAATGATGAATAAATTGTTGCCGAGATAAAAAAGTTGCTTGAGGCTACACGGATATTAATGTGAATACAGATAATAGAACCAAAAGTTTTAAATTTTAGCTCTCTTGTGTCTTTCTACTTTTAAATGAGTCTATTTGGCAGTTAGAAAGGCAATAGGACTGTGAGTAAATATTATACTTAATGTACTTTACTTTTTCACTTAGAGGTTCTTTGAAATTACTCTCAGATTTTTCTCCCTAGAATGCATATAAAATATAAATATTTTAGCACAGTATTTTATAGGGATGATGAACCATTAAAAAGTAATGTAAAGATATATACCATATGCACAAATATGCCTTCATAGGATAATTTTTTATAATTAATTTTTTGGTCAAATTTGACACAGCTGCATAAATTATTTATAAATCCTTATAAGATGCAACTTCACCTGTAGTCTCTGGGCAATGTGGTAGAACTATGTAAAATTTTACAGATAAGGGAGAAATATAGCTTATTGAAATTTTATTCTGGAGTTTGTAGGTAATAATGGGCATCTAGATTCCAATGCAAAGTTAAATTTTCTAGCATAGCTTCATCTTGGAATACTTCCCATTGTATTAAGTAGAGATGCCTCAAAACTCCATCTGATTTTCTTTTTTTTTTAAAGATTTTATTTATTTATTTGACAGAGAGAGATCACAAGTAGATGGAGAGGCAGGCAGAGAGAGAGAGAGGGAAGCAGGATCTCTGCCGAGCAGAGAACCCGATGCGGAACTCGATCCCAGGACCCTGAGATCACGACCTGAGCCGAAGGCAGCGGCTTAACCCACTGAGCCACCCAGGCGCCCACCATCTGATTTTCTTAACCTAAATTCATGGTCAAGGAAGGAGTTTAATTTCTGTAACAAAGTTTAAAAATTATAAAGAAACTAGCAAGTGAAAAGATCAGTTAATAAGGTAATCTATAATATTTGATTGAAAGAATGGTTTGGAAGAAGATTTAAAGAATTTTCACTACCTATGGAGTTGTCTGTGGAATTAAGACAAGAGAGTCTTTAATTATTGAGAACTCAACCTCCCCCAGAACAGTTGAGCATTGAAAGACTAATGCAAATGGCAATTCAAAAACTTAATAGTATCTAACAGATGTTAAGATGGGTCAAATGACAAAAGTCTTGTTTTCTCTTGAAATATCTATATATTTACATGAAAAAATTACAAATGAGCAAGTATGTGATACTGTTGATGCCATTTTTTCCATTGTGTATGTTGAAATATATACTGAAAATATTCTATAAATCACCATGCATACATAGTTAACATCATACTGTCAGTTTGGCTGTTAAATACTTGACATTTACTTTTTTCAAAAATAAATTTATTTATAGTATGGTTTTGGAGTTTCATATCAGTCATGGTTCCATAATAGAAGATAAATAAACCATAACTGATGATATTTTCAACACATTTATTATTATTTTTGTTTTTTTAGCTGTTGTATATTAAAATGTTTTCAAATGATCATTATCGGTAACAGATAAGTAATCTGGAAAATGGATTAGTGCTCAGATTCCTTGGTGTTTGGGTAATCTGAGTCCTAAGGAGAAAGTCATATTAGTAGAGAGAGTAAGAATCTTTGAAAAACTAAAGGAATGTTAAATTTACTGTTAAATATTATATAAGAAATGAATCCAGTAAAATTATTCTAATTCTTGCCTACTTTGAATACTGGGAAGCAAAAGTATTTCAAATGATTTTGTATTTTCTAGTAATTTCTTATTTATTTTCTCACTATTCTTTATATTACCATTTTCCACATTTGTTTTATAAATTGACACAAAAATAATACTTCAAGTCTCACATGCAACTTAAACCAAAACTAAGGAATATATTTGGGGTTTATGCTTTACATGTAAAAGTGTCAAGTAATAGAATTATTGATCTCCAATGTCTTCATAAGTAAGGAGGATTTTTTAATATTTAAGGAGTTCCAGGTAGTATATACACAAGCAGAAGGTTAAATTTTTTTTCAGTGGAAAAAATTGGTGACATTTTCTTTTGGGACATTTTCTTCTGGTCATATTTATAAGTAAGTCTAAGTGGTTCATGCAGTAAATCAAATGGATAATTAAAAAGAGATGAAATTAACATAGTCCAGTTAGTAATGTGGTTTATTCTCAATGTTTTAATTTTTACTGGAACTCAAACATTTAATGGAGTACTCTATCTACAGGAAAATATTAGTATTTTGATTTGCTGCATTAAAACAAAGATATGTACTTTCACAGTTTATATGAACTGTGATTTATCAGTAGTTGAAGAAATGCTGCTAGATGCCTCTAATTTGAAAAATGGTGTCAAGATACTGACCAAAAGTGTTTTTACTATGATTTTGGCCTCTAGAAAATTTAGATCTCCACATACGATTTTTTTTTTTGACAGATCACAAGTAGGCAGAGAGGCAGGCAGAGAGAGAGAGGAGGAGGAGGCAGGCTCCCTGCTGAGCAGAGAGCCCAAATGCAGGACTCCATCCCAGGACCCTGGGATCATGACCTGAGCCGAAGGCAGAGGCTTTAACCACTGAGCCACCCAGGCGCCCTCCACATACGATTTTTTAGTCAACATGAAAAGTAGGTGATATAGGGAGAAATGAAAGAAATGGATTTTTAGCAATTTGAATATCAGACTTGAAAACAGTAACTCACACAAGAACGCTATTCAAATAGTTTGTTACTTTAAAGATAATATCAACAAAAAGCCAATATTAAGTGCTGCAAATAGGAGTATAAAATTGTTTCATGAATAACATAGAAGTAGTGTACAAACATCCCATCAAAATAATAGAAAACACTCAAGAAATTTAATAAGATATATTTAAATATGGAAATAAATGAAAAACTAAAACCTTTAATTTTATAGGAATTATAGAAAGCCACTCCCTAAATGGAATAGACCAATACAAATTACTCTAGTAAAGACTGGTGTGGCACGACTAAAGTAGTATTGATTTTGCAATATTTTAATGAAAACAGATATTCTTTATTATAGTCTTAACGATGTGTTTAAATTAGAGATAAGGAAAATAAAGAACACCTAAAAGTCATTGTAATTGGGAAATATTTAACGAATCTAAGGCAAATAAAGCACAATAAAGTAAAAACTCACCCTTTCATCCACATGATGGCGCTGGAAACCGCAAGTTTGGTGGCTAGCTTCCCCCCCCGCCCCCAATAAAGGGATACGGTGAGTTTGTTTTCCTTAGAAAGGAAAAGGCTACTCCGTGTTTTACTCTGCTGCTGAAGCTGAAAAGGTGAGCAAATAAAAAATTATAGTAAATTGAGAATTAGGTTTCCAAAAGCTATCCTTGTTGTAGTACAATAGACATTTGAAAATTGCAACGTATTTGCGATGGTATATTCCCAGAGAAGTCCAGGTTCCCGGCTCCTGCTGCTCTCGCTTCTGCTCCTCACAGTCTGGAAGGCCGGGAGCGGCCAGGTCCACTACTCAGTCCTGGAGGAGGTCAAACACGGCACCTTCGTGGGCCACATCGCCCAAGACCTGGGGCTGGAGCTCGCGGAGCTGGTGCCACGCCTTTTCCGAGTGGCATCCAAAGGTCATAGAGACCTTCTGGAGGTAAATCTGCAGAATGGCATTTTGTTTGTGAATTCTCGGATCGACCGGGAGGAGCTGTGCGGGCGGAGTCTGGAGTGCAGCATCCACCTGGAGGTGATCGTGGACAGGCCGCTGCAGGTTTTCCATGTGGAGGTGGAGGTGAAGGACATTAACGACAATCCGCCAAGGTTCTTCCGAAAGGAACAAAGATTATTTATTTTAGAGTCAAGAATAGTGGATTCCCGGTTTCCGCTAGAGGGCGCATTTGATATGGATGTCGGAGCAAACGCAGAATTGAGATACAAACTAAATAGTAATGAATATTTTGATTTGGATGTTAAAGCAAATGAAGAAGAAACAAGCATTTTAGAGCTAGTCTTAAAGAAAGCAGTAGATCGGGAAGAAATCCAGGAACATCTTTTATTACTGACTGCAACTGATGGAGGAAAACCTGAACTAACAGGTACAGTTCAATTATTGATTAACGTATTGGATGCGAATGATAATGCCCCCAAATTTGATAAATCAGTTTATAATATCAGATTATTAGAAAATGCACCAAATGGGACATTAGTTATTAAACTGAACGCCTCGGATGCAGATGACGGCATTAATAAGGAAATAGTATATCTCTTTAGTGATCTTGTTCTTGACAATGTCAAATCTAAATTTAAAATCGATTCGAATAGTGGGGAAATAACAGTTAAGGGAGAACTGGATTACGAAGACTGTAATTTATATGAAATTAATATTGATGCTGTAGATAGAAGTCCATTCCCATTAACTGGACACTGCAAAGTAATAGTAAAACTCCTGGATGAGAATGATAATACCCCAGAGATGGCCATAACCTCCATATCTCTGCCAGTACAAGAAAACGCTTCAGTGGGGGCCGTCATCGCCCTGATCAGTCTGTCTGACCGCGACTCCGGTCTCAATGGGCAGGTGACCTGCACCCTGTCGCCCCACGTTCCCTTCAAGCTGGTGTCCACCTTCAAGAACTACTATTCGCTGGTGCTGGA